TGAACTTGCTCTCTGAGAAATTTAATCTGTAGGCCTGTGTTTAAACGCACAGAATATTATTATGTAACTAAGCAGCTGGGAAGATTAATTGTGATTAAAAATAAAAAGGGAAAACACACAGTACACCAAGGCAGGACTGTTTAATGAGAAAAGGGTAACTTGAAAGAAAACAGTATTTGTACAGGGTAATGAAAAGTCAACCCACAGACGTACTAAATAAGAATAAGACATTGTATCTCATATTCGACTCAAAAGGTACTGCTTATCCAAAGAAATGATTACACTGGAATTAATGCAAATACTATCCATGAGCATATACACAAAATACATGTATTATGGACCATTTGCAAAGTATTTATTTTCAGATTTCATGCCCATTCTTAAAAGCCAAACACCTGACTGTGTCTGTGATTTCTCTTTCCTTGCTCACACCCTCCTTTGCAGGGGTACCCAATAACCTCCTTTCTTGAACGCCATGGGCACTGCCTAAGCCACCACACCCTCGACATGCATTTCCAGTTCAGCCTGCATGTATGAGCCCCAACGTGTTCACATTTCCTCAGAGCCCAGCATCCCGCCTCATACCACAGAATGTTCGTTCAGATACAAAGATGCATGGAGCAGCATCAGGTTCTGGGAATGAAGAGAAAGATGAATAAAACATTGTCATGCACTCAAAGAACTTGGGCTGAGCGAGGGACCGACATACCAACAATAGTTGCAAGCCGGTTGGCTTTGGTGGAGAAAGGGGGGGCATGCTTGTGAAGCCAGCCTCAGATTGGTGACCACTTGTTATGGACCCACAGTCCACAAATTCTCCAGCAAACATGAGTGCTTAGAGAGTAAGTGAGGAACATGGATGCATGCATCAGGCTGGCTGCTGGAGCGCCTGCTGGGGCTGAGGTCAGATGGAGAGTACACATTCTGTCCAAAGTCACTCAAGGTCTCCTTTTTCAGATGCCATGCCTGCAAAATAAAATCTGCCTGCAGGCCTCGTTGGGTTCAGGCCGCCAGTGTATAATATTGACACATCATTTAATGTTTAGTACATGTAAATCCTTGTTCTAGGCACTTTCCATGTGTTAATTCGTGTACTCCTCACAACCGTTGAGACTGATATTATGATTTTGCCCATTTTATAAACGGACTGACTGAGGTACTGGGGAGACCCTGTCCCTTGCTGAGGTTGCGCAGCTAGTCGGGTGGTGGAGTTGGGGTCTGACGCCAGCCAGTCTCCAGAACCCACACCCTTAAAAGAAGCGCTTGAAGGCACTCTACTGCTCTGTATTTGAACTTTTAACATTTCTTTATTCAGCTTATCATACAAATGAGTTACATAGTTAATGTTTTAGTGTACCAAATATTATCCCATTTTGTTGTTGAACACTCTTTTATCTGGGGTATACAGTTTTGATGGAAAAATTCATGTCCATCTATCCATTGTTTCATAAACGTAATCACATTCCCTGCTTATCACCATCTTTCTGATCTGAAGGATCCTAATATTGTGTTCCTCAGAGGAGAAAGCAGGCCCAGGAAGGGTCTGGTGCTTAATGGATCCCCTCTCTTCAGCTCCTTGCCCTCCTTCTGACCCACTGCAAATACCCTTCCCAAGTCTGGGGATTAGTGCTTTCTTCTCAGTCCTCCCTACAGGTACAAACAGGATAATGCTTTCTTTTCAATAACTGCCTGTGTAATGTTTACAACTCTGTGGATCTTTCTGGACAAAGCAATCGGTTATTAGGCCAGTGTCTTCAGAGAAATCCTATTTATGTGAGCTAAAACAAATCCAAGGGCACTCAGGGATTTGGTGAAACGGGCAAAATATAAACTCCCAACTCTTTGATCTTCATTCAAAATGTTTCGGTGGACCAGGGGATGTGGCCACATTTTATTCACAGACTTTTCTGAGAACTCTGGACATTACATTCTGTTTTTACTTACGTTAAAGCCAAAATATTAGGAGTCTTGCCATAGGCTATCCGTTTTGCCTCCTGGCTTTTGTTCCTACTGCACCCTCAGCCAGGACCTCTCTACAACTACACCCCCTTCCCAAACTCTGGCTCCTACCCAAACTTCCTGACACTCTTCTCATGCCACATCCCCTGACCTCCAAAGTGGTGATGTGTCTCCCCTGTATATACCCCGTGCCCGGCACTTAGTTATCTATTTCAGTTGCCTATTTATTTCTCTCCACCTTGTAGTTGGAACTATACTTTTTAAACTTATTTGTACCTAAAATACATACAGTCATACTTACTTCTGAAAAAAGTTGTGCCCTTGAGCTTTTAAACTTGGCAGTTTATTTTACAATCTCAAGAATGGTAAAAATACCTGGGTTGTGGGCTTTGGGGTTGAACGCATGTGGGTTTGGCATCCAACTCCAGTTCTAATGGCTACATGACCTTGAACTTAACATCTCTGAGGCGGTTTTATCCTTTGGAAAGTAAAGACTTCCTTCTCTGTGACGATTAATGCATAAGGGTGCGAGCTGTCACCTGCCCAAATTCATGCTCAGCTGAGTGTCAGCAGCTATTGTGCTTCTAAAGAGGAATTTAATTTTGTGAAAAGGAGACATTGAATCAAAAAGAGAGGAAGAATGCTGCCAGTTGAGTAGGAATTACTCAATACATATTTTATGATATGCACTTTACCTACATTGAGATTAATCTGTAATTCATATTCAACATGTTATCTGTTGCTCTCTACCTATTCAATACCGAAATACATCTTAAATGGTCTGAAAATGTATCACACTCCTTTAAAATGCTCAAAGAAGAAGAAATTCAAAAAATGAAAAAGAATGTGGCACCATCTAAGGGAATGTCTTTTCTGCCATGAAGTTAATAGTACAGTAAATGTCACTGAATAAGACCCCATTTTAATCTCTAGGAGACTGGAAACATCGGTTCATCCAAATTTCTAAGCATCAAATTTAGAACGGCTTAGAGAGTATTTTGATATTATTTACTTAATAGTAAGCTCGTTTGTGAGCCAGTAAATAATCCAGTAATATACTTCGTGTTTAAACCCTTCTTTTTAAGACCCTTAGACAGGAACCCAAATGCTTAGTAGCTGATTGCTGCCAGATTTAACCTGGGAAGACGCACAGACGATGCTTACTGACAAAGAATGTCTCTAATGAACTCAACTCAGAATACCAGGAGGAAATGTGTCCCATTTCCTTGTACTTGCCTCTTTTAGATAAGCTAAAAGGCCCTCTAAAGCCACAGAATTAAACAAGAGGATATTCTTTCAGCATCAGTATCAACTAAGACTATACCAACATACACAAGCACACTGCACGTTCACACGGGTATACATTTGTTAATCTCTCTTTCTCTACTTGCTCTAAATCAGAAGCCATTCTAGGTGCTGCGGGACCCCAAGATGCATAAAACAGTATAGTTTTGCCCTCAAGCAGCTCCCAGTTTGAGTTTTATTTGCAAAAATGTAGTATTTTAAGCTATCGCTAGTTCACCATTGAAGTGGGCACTAATTCAAACCAAAGTAATTAGGAGAGAGGAGATGGGGGGACAGAACACCAGAGGTGTGAGTGGGCAGCAAACAGGACCACTGAGAAGGCAGGAAAAGGAAACGGGCATAATCCTGGTCTTGGGAGTCACAGACTCGGAGTGCAGATCTGCCAACTAGCAGCAGTGCACACAGTTGTGGTTTTTGCTGTTAGTATGTATTCGATGCTTGAAAGTTTTTAATTACTAAAAAAATCCTTATTTCTTTTTAAAGTATCAGATGAGAACACTGATGAAAGTATAGAGCAGGGTGCCTGGGTGGCTCAGTTGGTCAGGCGACTGCCTTCGGCTCAGGTCATGATCCAGGAGTTCCAGGATCGAGTCCCGCATCGGGCTCCCTGCTCAGCGGGGAGTCTGCTTCTCCCTCTGACCCTCCCCCCTCTCATGTGCTCTCTCTCATTCTCTCTCTCAAATAAATAAATAAAATCTTAAAAAAAAAAAGAAAGTATAGAGCAGAGCTTATCATTGGGAAGCTCAACTAGTATACTAGTTTTTTCAAAAATGTAGTATTTCCCCCCCTTTTTTAAAGATGTTATTTAACTGAGTGAGTGAGCATGAGTGGGGAAGGGGCAGAGGCCGAGGGAGAAGCAGACTCTGCTGAGCAGGGAGTCCCACGCAGAACTTGATCCCAGGACCCTGAGATCATGACCTGAGCTGAAGGCCGACGCTTAACCGACTGAGCCACCCAGGCGCCCTATGGTAACCCTCAATATGATTTCGGTAATATACTTTACATTAGTACACATTTTGTTAATACAGTTTGGGTCATGATCAGGATAATGCTGAAGGACAGAGAGTAAAGCAGCGGGGTTAATAAAACAAAAGCTTTCAAGTGAACCAGACCTAAAGTCAAATTGGGGTTCTAGCTCTGGACAGCCAGCTAGCTTACCTTAAGGAAGTTATTTTCTCATCATGGGTAAATTTTCAGAGTTGTAAAGGTGAAATGTTTGGGATACGAAGCCCTCACCATAGTGACTGACAGTCCTCAGTATTAACTTCATTCTCCGTGACCTTAAGGAAAGGCACTTCCTAGCTGGACCAGCCCTTTTGAGTTGTGGCTGCTCCACATGCACACGGGGGTCACCTGAGCTCCCTGCCTGGTCTCCAAGCGGGATGGGGGGTGGGGGGGTGGGGGGAGACAGTCGCTCTCCCTGCCTCCTGGTGGCTGAAGCTCGGCCTGCAGGCTCCGTGCAGCTAAAACCATAGTCCCTCGGGGGCTCCAACCTGACAGAGAGACCACAGCACACTGGGTCCGGGCTGCTGGGGACAGTGGGGGTGCCTGTGGCTGACTCTGAGCAGCGTTGTGGCGCCCTCGCCCCCCAGCAATGTCTCATTGATTCTGTGAGCCACGCACACCCAGTCTAAAAATCCACTTTCTCAAGTAAACAGTCAGCTCCTGCTTTCTGTGAACAAGAACCCTAACCAGTATACTTTAGTAAAACTAATAAAAGTAAAGAGCAGTGCCATAAAATTATTTTAATAACTTTTTCTCCATGACTGAATATACAATGATAACGGAAGTAACGTATTCTTCTGCTGTAAAGATGGGTGGAATATGTCAAAATCCACCTGCTGAATTTTCTTTAAGTAGTCCTCCAGAGCAACCTGGAAAAGGAGAATAATGGTCATGAGGTCACAGAATGATTAAGGTTTTTAGAGAAACTAAAGAAAAATTCTAAGTATTAAGGCTACTTTAGTTTCCCGGAGATGGTCTTCTATGTACTAAGAATTTAAATGAGAATTTTAAAAGGGAGAAGAAAATAAAAACATCTAAGAAGTTTCTATTAGACCAGTAAAACAGCATCAAAGAGCTAGTACTAGAAATTTCAAGTCAATTCTGATCATAACTTTTAGAACGTAAATTTATTGTAATTTGTTTTACACAAAATGTGTAAAAAATTTTTAAAACTGTGTAAAAAATTAGAGAAATTATTGTTTGTCAGGTATTATTACTATATTCTGTAGAAAACAGAGGAGGTGTTTCCATCAAGGACACTGAACACCACCACCACCTCCCCCTGTACAAATGCATTGTGCCCTGAGGACAAGCTTAAGTTGTTTGTTAAAAGAAAATTATTTTGTGGAAAAGTTTAATGGGTCTCCGTGTTCTTGTTAGAAAACAATTTGTAACCTGGGAGAACAACCACAGGTCCCTATAAATGTCACCCCACGTGTCCCCCATCACACAAAACTTGATTAAGCTTTCGTGGGGACTGGGGAGTAGGGTGGAAAACAGTGGCGATGGACCGTGCTCTTTATTTTATGATTTTCAGTTATTTTTATTAATTTGTACATTTTAAGTTTATTGCAATAACTTGATTAAACAGAGAAGCCACTTAGTTTTGCACTGCACGTGGCTGAGGCACCTCTTGCCTTCTCAGTGCACGTGCACAGCGCCCCCTAGTGTCTGCAGGACAAGCTGTGTGATCCCGCACAGGCCCTGCTCTGGATTCGCTAGACTATCCGGAGGAGCCAAGACAACAAAAGGGATTGTATTTTCTCCCAGACTCTTTTCCTACACACACACACACACACACACACACACACACACACACACACACACAGACAAATGTACGTACAAATTTAGCATCTACATTTTAAACCCTAAACTTAGAGATATGTACAACAGGAGATATGTGCACAGCTGCTGTGTGTTGTATTAGCCAAAAACTGGCAAACAATCCAGGTCTTTGACAAAAAAAAAAAAAGCACTAGTCACACAATGAAATGTACTGCAGTGAAATGTGTGACCTAGAAGACATACAGGTATGATCCATTTTTATAAAGCTCAAAACCAAAACTAAACTATGTTGTTTAGGAATATATAAAACGGGGAAAAGCCCTTTTGGAATAAAAGCAACAGAATAATAAATTCAAAATTCAGAGAGCTATTTGGGGGAGGCAAGCAGAGGCAGGGGGATGAGATGGGGGAAAACACAAGAGTGTGGTTTGATGGTGACATTCTCGCTCCTGGATTGAGTGGTGAGCTCAGGGATGTTCGTGACATTATGCTTTAACACGTGCACACATATATAGATAGACCATATTCATTTGTAGATATCAAATATTAAAACTTTTAGAAGAGAATGAGAAAGAAAAAAACTTTGAATATATTTTAATGTACTTTCACATGTTCTCTTTTTTTGAAAAAAGAGCTCATGTTATTCATGATGTTCTGTAACATTGATAGTTAATATTTTGTGATCAGCTTTCCATCTCTAAGAATTCTATGTTCATTTTAATAGTTTACAATATCTAGTTATAAGGAATAGTTAATGAAATTAAGATGCCAGCACATGATAGAATATTATATAGCCATTAAATATTGTATTTATAAATATTTTTAATGATGTCGCTAGATGCTTGTTAAGTAGAACAATGACATATAAAGTGTGATTTCAACTATACACAAAAATTCATTGAAAAAAAAAAAAAAGAACAGAATAAGCAGTGGTTATGTCTGGGTCCCGGCATTATAGGTGATTGTTGTCTCCTTTTTTTTTTTTATATTGTCCAAATCTCTGTTCTGAGGATGTAGTTTTTACAACTAGGAGAAAATTCCATTAAAATACAGATGAAATGTGACCTCCGAATCAGAGCCCAGCTGGACATTCACAAATAAGGATTTGATCCAAAGGAAAGTCTGGCTAATGGTGTGTGTTGTACACGTACACACACACACCCCCACACACCCATATAGACCTATGCAGTCTGGTGACTCCACTCACCTGCCCCAGAAACAGGCACGGCTGTCACCAAAAGCAGAACGTAGCGAACAAAACCCACCAGAAGGGAGGGAAGCAAAAACAAAGTCCCACGCTAAAGAACTGCACTGGGAACTTTACAAAATAGAAAAAGAGATCACACATCTGTTTCATTAATTCAACAGCCTTCTCTGTTAATCTACTTACCGTCTGAAGAAAAGCAGGAAATGCTCTCACAGGAACACTTTTCTGGAAGGACCTAGCCTACAAAGGAAGACAAAAGGAAACTGGTTTCAAACGTAAGTATTTCTGGAAATAAACACTCTGCCTCTAAAAGTGATCACAAAGCAACACTACAAGTTTAACAACACGGCTAGGGCCTCTCTCAAAGGCAAGAAAATAGCTCTCTTGCCAATTAAAATTAATTTCTTAAGCCTAAAGGACTCAGGAAAAAGTACTTTAATAAGAATCCCATTCTTTCTGGCAGACTGGCTTTGGCCTTTTCCAGCTGCCTTATAACATCTTACAGTTCTGGCCCTGTAGCTCTGTAGTGAGCGGGGGAAGGAAGAAATACTTGCACTCACAAGTCCCGGCACCGCCCTAGCTTAGATGGTGGGCATCTCCTGGTTATGTGAACTTAAGAGCATCCTAACTGATCTCCTGCCTTCATTCTCAACCTTTTGTTCAGTTCACTCAGGCAGCCAAATGAACATTCTTAGTCACTATTTTATTTTTACTTTCTTTAACTTAACTCTCTGATACACCAAGTCTTATGTCTTCATTTTGGAGTTCCAAGGCCTCCACATCTTGGTTCCAACTTCACCTATCCCACCTAACTCACTACTACCCTGGACTATGAAACCCTGATCCACTCACACTGATGCCCATCATCCTGCACTCACCATGCCCACTCTTGTCTACAGGTCTTCGTTTATATTGTCAGACATCGCCTCTACTTCCTGACATCTTTACCCCCTGCACTCTGGTTTTACCCTCACCTGTCTACTAAAATTGCTCTTTTCAAGATCATCCAAGATTTACTTAATCACCATACCCATCTTTTCAACCTCTCTACAGCATGCAAAACTTTAATATTCCCCTTTCTTAGAATTTTCTCCTCCCTTGGTTTCCAAGAGACCGATTCTTAGTGCACCTACTTCTTTGATCACTAATAAATGGCCCGTCTTCCTTTGACCTGAGAGGCGGAGGTGGGCCTCGGGTTCTGCGCTTGGTCTTCATGTCTAGATGTACATTCTCCTTGGACAATACCATCCACACTTAGAGCTTTAACCACAGGCTTTCTATGTGGATGACTCCTAAATCTCTATCTCCAGTTCTGACCTCCCTTCAAAGCCACAATCCAGCCATCTTCAATAGCCTGTCTCCCTTAATGTTCTCGAATCCCCTTAAATTCAGTGATGTCCAACAGCTGGTCCAGAGGCTACTGATCAGCACCAGCATGCCACTGCTTTTCACTGTAGTCTCTGAAGGGCACCATCACTACCTAAACTTGAACTCTGCAGCCTTCCCTCTCCCTGATCCTGCCACAACCAATCTGTCTTCGAGTCTAGCTGATTCCACCTCTGTTGTGTGTGTGTGAACCTATATACACATCTACCGTCTCTACGTCAGATCCTCTTTCTCTCTGTCCTAAATAAGCCTCCTAACCGATCTCGCCTTCCCCAGACTCGTCTCAAACACTGCTGGCCAGGTTCTCCCATGTGCAACATGACTGTCCCTGCTCTACTTGATGGTGACAACGAGGAAACATGTCACTTACGATATGCCGGGCACAGTGATGAAGCCTTTATGCATGCTAACCCATTTATCCAAATCACAGCCCTTTGAGTTAGGTACTAATAGGACCCTCTTTCCCAGAGGAGGAAACTGAGGCACAGAGGTTAAGGTCACACGATTAGTAAATGGCAGAGCTAGGACTGAAAGTGAGGCTCCAGCTCCAGAGTCTGCACGCTCATCTCCCGCGCTCCAGTGCCTCTCAAAAGCCTCCCCGACTCCATACTCTTTCTTCAGTCCTTCAGTACTCTTCTCCAAACCTGTTTTCCAGGGCCCTAGTTCACATAACCTACAAACTAGTAGTTTTCAAATGTGGCTGTTTAAAATCATTCGGAAATTTTAATTCCTGGCCCCATCCCAGACTGACTGTATCTCCAGGGGGTGAGGCCTGGGAATCTGTATTTTTCAGGTGCCTTAAGTGTCCATCAACTGGCGACTATTCAGGTTCCAAGGTTCCAACACAGGGCTTTCCTGATTTAATGATTCTGTTGTGTTCTCAGATCTTACCTAAAACTCTGCTAGTTTTAGGTAATTTCTCGTCTAAAGTCCATGTATTTTATCTATACCGTGCTTCAGGAAATTAAAAAAAGATTAAGATTGATTCTTTGCCTTCAAAAAGCTTACAATCTGATTACCTATTTAATGTTTCACAAGTACTTACGGAGTGCCTATAATGTACCAGGCACTTTAGATGCTGAAGAAATACAGCATAGAACCAAAGTCTCTTACATTCTATGAGGTGGGGACGCATTAAACAAACTTTTAGTATGTCAGGTAGTGAAAAGTCCTAAGCCAGGTAAAGGGACTGAGGGCGATGGAAAGGGAGGATGTTATTTTATTTTTTTATTTTTTAAAAAGATTTTTATTTATTTATTTGACAGAGAGAGACACAACAAGAGAGGGAACACAAGCAGGGGGAGTGGGAGAGGGGGAAGCAGGCTCACCGCTGAGCAGGGAGCCCGATGCAAGGCTCGATCCCAGGACCCTGGGATCGTGACCTGAACCGAAAGCAGATGCTTAATGACTGAGCCACCCAGGCGCCCCGGGAGGATGTTATTTTAGATACAGTGGCCAGGAAAGATCTTTCTGATAAGGTGATATTTAATACTGACTATGGGTTTGGTGTGGAGGAGTTGGGGGTTGGAGAGCATCTTCCAGGCAGATAAACAGCAAGTACAAAGGCCCTGAGATTTGCAGGTAAATAACAAGTCTTTAGGATCCACTGAAGCTCAAAAAAAAAAAAAAGGGGGGGGAGGCAGGATTCACAAGGAGAACCAGGAAGAAACAGCATCATGAGAATCAAGGAATAGTTCCAGGAGAATCGGGAAGGAATAGCATTATTGGAATAAAGAACATAATTTCAAGAAAGGGGGGGTTGCGTGCACCTGGCTGGCTCAGTCAGTGGAGCACATGACTCTTGATCTCAGGGTTGTGAGTTCAAGCCCCAAATTGGGTGTAGAGATTGCTTAAAAATCTTAAAAAAAAAGAAAGTGGGGGTGGGGGGAGTCAACAGAAGACAAGTTACAGTTTGAGAAAACATGAAGAACTAACTCTTAGGAATCACTGAAAGTGGTATGCAGGAGAAATCAGGAACCAGTTTAGGTCAGGGAATCAAGGGAAAAAGATATTATTAGAAAGTTTCAAGGAGGAAAAAATGTCTATGGTGTCAAAAGCGGAAAGAGTTAATGTGAATGAGAGTTTTAGGTGCCCGTTAAACATGGCAATAAGGAGATTACTTAGTAGTGCTTATTAGAGTAGGCGGGAGCAAAGCGAAATGATAGCATGATGAACAGTGCCGGGGTGATGCTGGCCTTGAGGGAATGATGAATACGGACCACTTACTCACAAAAGTTTAACTGGGAGGGGGAAATGAGCCACAGAAGGGTCCACAGGCTGCCCAGAAAAGGGGCGAATTATCAGGCCAGCTGCAGACGCTGAGGCCATGAGCCCCTGGGAAAGGAGCCATCGGCCCTGGCAAGGCAGAGAAACAGCCTGTCCCCTGTGAGCGAGAGCTGGTGGGGGCACAGAGCAGGCAGGGGCTCACCGAGGAAGCTGAGGAAGCACGTGTTCATCCGCTGAGGAGAAAGGGGGACTGTAAAAAACTGGAGAGTTCACAATAGTCCCCGAAATAAACCTACTGGGATTTCAGTGAGAAACGGAATAAAGGCCGGCGACCATAACCATGCTCTAGGAATGGCCACGTCTAGAAATGGCCATCTCCTAAATAGTCTGGCAGAGAGGCAACTTACATGCTTCAGGTGCAAGTGCGCCTGACTGGCAATGTCATATATCACATCTCTCACATTTTTATCCTGGTTCTTCCGTAGAAAATCCTCTTGTGAAACCCCATGCTGTGTGGGAAAATACATATCACATCAGGAATATAAAGGCACACTTTAACTTAGTTCAAGAAAAACAGGTGATAGAATAGTATGTACAGTATAATGCCTATTCTGCTTTGAAAATATATGTAGATGCACATGTGTATGTATACAGACACACACACACACACACACACACACACTCCTAGAAGAATATGCAACAAGATGTTAATTAATCACCACTGCAGGTAGAACAAAATTATACAAGCAAGAAAACAAACATATGGATCCCTCATAGACCGAAGTGCCTGACTGATAAAATTCTGACTTGCTAACCGGAGCCAAAAGGCAATCAGCATTCATTTCAAAGCAGTTACTTGAATAGATGAAGCAAAGAACCAAGAGACCACGGCCCTCCCCGAGTTCTTGAGGTAAATCATGAGAGGAAACAAGTAACAGTCTTACCAGCATACAAATATCCATGGGAAGGAACACCCTTCTTCTGCTTCCATGATAGGGCGTTGCTCTCAAGCAAGTCACAATGCCCTGGGCTTTTCCAATGTGACTTGCGGCATGATCTGCATGAAGATCCTTTACACCTATGATTTCAGAAATTAAGCAACAGGGCTGCTCTTTACTCCTTAAATGTACAACAACTCAACAGAAGCAGCTTGGAGAAACCACCTACGCATGGAAAAGCAGGTGCCGATCCTATGTTTTATATCTGAAAAACAGGACTTCTTTGAGAAAACTGGGCATGAGAACAAGCTGACTGTTTACCAATGAACAGGTTTCTGAACCCCAACTTTTAAATAAAAGAGTCTTCCTCGGACTACAGCACACCGAGAACACATTTGGAATTTTAATCAGCTGTCTTGAAAAACCATCAGAAGTCTTCCATTTCTTCTCCATGCAATTTCCATATGACCTCATTTTAAGTATACGCCTCACAAACATTCTGCTCTTTGCTCCCTCCTTTCATTGTGTTGGCAAACATGTCACTGGGCGTACAGGCAAAAGAGGCCTGGGAATCTCAATAGGGACCTGGGTTATTCCTTTCGGGTGACATAAAGATATATGACCTTCTTTAAAAGAGAGGCTGTTGTCTTTGGTCCAAATAATTTCCTTATTACAATAAGACTTCACCAACTTAAAGTCAGGTGAGGAAAAGTATCATCTAAATTCGTTTTATTTATTTTTAAGAGGAAAGAAAAGGAAAAATCTCATAAAAACTTTGAGAAATGCAGTTTTATATTTGCTACTCTTTTTTTTTTTTTTTTAATGTAGGGAAGTATTATTGACAGAAAGCGTCAGGCCCCAGGCCTTCCAAATTGTAGGAGACGCTTAAAAAAGAAAAATCATCTGCAATTACCAGAGTATTAATTACAGTAGTCCCATGGGGTAGCTAAAGTACTTTTATGAGCCTGAGTATTGTGATTAGTCTGTACTCCAAAGAAAGCTATATATTCCCCTTCTTGTTTAAAAACAAACAAAAACAACTGTTCCTTTATTGGTGGTGCAAAGAAAAACTTCAGTGTTAAACTAATCAGACTGTCAAATTATGAATCAAGTCTGAAGGGTATTTCCTTTGAAAAAGAGAATTATAAAACAGAAAAAAGACTTACCCAGTATTTCTAGTGTTAAGTAAAGAAGAGAGCTCTGTGTGTTTTCAGCGTAATTTTCCAGTTCCTGGATATTACGATATGCTTTGTCATCCAAATTTTTTTCCTATAGTCAAACAAAATGCAAATAAAGTTTGATGAATTGTCAATATTTTATAAAGAAAAGGCACCATTGTTTTTGCCCTAAAGAACAAAGAATAAAAAAATTAGTATATATTGTTTAGTACACAATAAGTTTAAAATAAAATTAAAATATTAAAGTTCTACACATTCAATACTTACAAATCACCCCTCAAAATAATACCCTGGGAATAATGTCAGTGCACAAATCACCACAGACATGAGGTTAGTTTAATTTTTCATTCCTTCGAAAGCCCAAGGAATCATGAGAAACAGAACTGAATTCTCACTTAAGCACCTTAGACATTTGCTTAATCCTAAAAACCTCTTCCCAAAAGATAAGGAATTAATGCTTTTCCCATGTTGCAGATGGAGAAACTGAGTCACAGATACATTACGTAATATGCCCGAGGTCACAGAGCTAAATAAATGGTGGGGACAGGTTTCAAACCCATACATTTTAACTGTTAAGTCCATGTTCTTAATAAAGAAAAGGTGCCTAGAAAAGGAAAGGAGATCATAACCAGCCCCCACCCCAAAGAAACCATGTTCAATAAAGTAACAGGGATGATTATGTTACCTGATCACACTATTTTATTCCAGAAACAGAAAAATGCACATCTCAGAGCAAGAACATCTAGCTACTTTTGTAATAATACATTTACAGACTCTATTACTAAGGAAACATACCCCTTCCTTTTTTTTTTAATCAGAAGAAAATGGCACCAGCAATGATCCCAGAGAAAAAAATTATGTCTGATCTTTTACATTTTTAAAAAACTGAGACTTAATTCACATATCATAAAATATACCCTTTTCAAATGTACAATTCAGTGGTAAAGTATATTCATTCACAAAGTTGTACAACCATCACCACCATCTAATCCTGTGATGTTTTCCCCACCTCAAAAAGAAACCCTGTATCCATTAAGCAGTTACTTCCCATCTCCCCCTTCCCTCATCCCCCAGCAAACCACTCATCCACTTTCCGTCTCCATGGATTTGTTTGTTCTGGACATTTTATAAAAATGCAGTGATACATGGGGCACCTGGGTGGCTCAGTTGGTTAAGCATCTGCCTTCGGCTGAGGTTATGATTTCATGGTCCTGGGATCGAGCCCCACATTGGGCTCCCTGCTCTTCGGGGAGTCGGCTTCTCCCTCTGCCCCCCCCCCCCCCCCGCTTGTGTGCCCTCTCTCTCTCTCTCTCAAATAAATAAAATCTTTAAAAAAAAATGCAGGGATACGATATGTAGTTTTTTGTATCTGGCTTCTTTCAGTTAGCAGGTTTTCAAGGTTCATCTGTGTTGAAGCATATATCAGTACCTGATTTTTTTTTTTTTTTTTTTTTTTGGTGAAAAAACTTAGATTTAGCCAGCTGGACTCAGTTTAGATAATTCCAATTTTGTTGGCAACATCCAAAGTATCATAGTCAGGAGCCAGTCGATCATATGCCTTCTTCGGTCCATCAGGTCTGATCAAGGTGTTGACCTTGGCCACGTCAGTGTCGTAGAGCTTCTTCACAGCCTGCTTGATCTGGTGCTTGTTGGCCTGGACATCCACAATGAACACAAGTGTGTTGTTGTCTTCTATTTTCTTCATGGCTGACTCAGTAGTTAGGGCATAGTGATCAAGCTTGTTTCTCCTGGGGGCGCTCTTTCGAGGATATTTGGGCTGCCTTTGCAGACACAGTGTCTTGGGTCGTCCGAATGTAGGTGACATGCGGATCTTTTTTGTGACTATGGACGCCTTTCAGCACCACTTTCTTGGCCTTCAAAGCCTTTGCTTTGGCTTCGGCTTTGGGAGGGGCAGGAGCTTCCTTCTTAGCCTTCAGCACCATCTTTGTAAAAGGGATTTCCAAGGCCAGTACCTGATTCTTTTTAACTTCAGAAATTATTAATAATATTCCATGTATGGATATACCACATTATGTTTTTATTCACTTAATAGACTCTGAGTTGTTCTCACTTTTGGACTGTTATGAATAACGTTGCTATGAACGTCTGTGTGCAAGTTTTGTGTGGACACACATTTTCATTTCTCTTGCATATAAATATAGGAGTGAATTGCTGGGTCAACGGTACCTCTATGTCTAACTTTCTGAAGAACTGCCAAACGGTTTTTCCAAAGTGGCTGCACCATTTCCTATTCCCATCAGCAATATATGAAGGTCTCTAATTTTTCTATATCCTCACCAACACGCGTTATTGTTCATCTCTTTTATTACAGCCATCCTAATGAGTGTAAATGAGTCATTTCTTCTGGTTTTGATTTGCATTTCCCTAATGAAAGTCATTTGTAGATCTTCCTTGCAGAAATGTTTACTCAAATCCTTTGCCCAATTTTAAATTGGTTATTTGTCTTTTTATTGTTGAGTTATAAGAGTTGTTTACATATTCTACATACTTGTTCCTTATCAAATATATAACTTGTAAATATTTTCTCCCATTCCATGGGCTGCCTTTTCACTTTCTTGAAATTTTTAATTTTGTTGAAGTCCAATTACCTATTTTTTCCTTTTATTGCTTGGGCTTTTAGTATCATATCTAAGAAATCACTGCCTAACCTGCAATCCCAAAGATTTATGCCAATGTTTTTTCCTAAGTGTTTTACAGTTTTATCTCTTACATTTAGGTGTTTGACCTATTTGGAATTAGTTTCTGTATATGGTGTAAAGAGGCATCCAAATTCATTCCTTTGCATGTGGATGTCCAGTTGTCCTGGCATTATTTGCTGGAAAGGCTATTCTTTCCCCATTGGATTATCTTCACACCCCTGTCAAAAAAATCAATTAACTATAAATATATGGGTTTATTTCTGGACTCTCGATTCTTTGCCGTTGATCTATATGTCTATGCCATGCCAATCCGCCATAGTCTGATTATTGTAACTTTGAAGCTAACTTTCTTCTTTTTCAAGATTGCTTTAGTGATTCTGGGTCTCTTGCATTTCCATATGGATTTCAGGATCAGCTAGTCAATTTATGCAAAAAGGCAGCTGGCATTTTTATGGGGTTACACTGAACTTAAAGATCAATGTGGGAGATTGATCCCAGTCTTTTACTCTCAAATATCCCTCCCCACAAATGCCAAGTGTTATTTTCCATTAAACCAAAAAGTTATCTCTGTCTTGAATTCTCTGTCTTCACTTCATAAAAACAGAAAACACCTTTGGGGCTTGGGTGGCTCAATCAGTTAGGCCTCTGACTCTTTGTTTTGGCTCAGGTCATGATCTCATGATCTCAGGGTCATGAAACTGAGCCCCCCCCCCAACCCAACAAGCTCCACACTCAACGGGGAGTCTGCTTGAGATTCTCTCCCTCTCCCTCTGCACCACCCCCCACCTCACACACACACGTGCACATGCGCTCTCTCTCTAAAATAAATAGATCTTAAAAACAAAACAAAACAGAAAACACCTGAAAAATAGATCTTTTTAGTGCCAATTAACTCCGTAGGCCAACTGAGCAAATTTTTTTTAAATGCTAAAGCATTATCTCCTATTTTGGCTTGTATTGTAAGTACTATAGCGTATGGTTATTAATGGGTTGTAGCCAAATAAATTAAACTTAACATTTTCATGACAACAGTATGTGATAAATATCAGGCTGATGAGAACACTGAGCCAACAATGTGTCAGAAAGATTATATAAGTTAGCCCAGAACAGAGAGCAATTTGTATGCTTGGTTGGACCTAGAACTCAGTTCTTAGAATGTAGTATAGTACTCCATTCACTAGAACCATCAGACTTTCCTTACTGCCTCTACTATCTGGATAGAGATCCAAATACTAGGTGTACATAAAAGTACGTGCACAACTGGGGCGCCTGGGTGGCTCAGTCGTTAAGCGTCTGCCTTCGGCTCAGGTCATGGTCCCAGGGTCCTGGGATCGAGCCCCGCATCGGGCTCCCTGCTTGGTGGGAAGCCTGCTTCTCCCTCTCCCACTCCCCCTGCTTGTGTTCCCTCTCTCGCTGTGTTTCTCTTTGTCAGGTAAATAAATAAAATCTTTAAAAAAAAAAAAAGTATGTGCACGACTACTCAAGTTTTGATGATATTAAGGAATTATCTGTCATTTTTTAAGGTATGATCATTTATTGTGGGTATGTTTTCTAAAGCACTTTTTAAATCTTTTCAAGATACATATGTATTTACAGATCAACTAATATGATATCTGGGGTTGACTTTAAAATAATACTGTGGGGTTTAATGAGAGGAGTTGGTAGAATATAGATGAAACAGAAGTAGACATGTGTTCATAGCTAAAGCTGGGTTACAGATACATGAAAGTATATTACACTATTCTTTCTACTTTTGTGTAAGTCCGAAAATTTCCATTAAAAAAAAAGTCAAAAACCACAAAACAGTAGCTTGTAGGTGTGCACACATACACTTCTGCCTGGGTGCTTGTGTTTGCCTGTCTCACTCAAGACACAGGGGCAGGGGGCTGAGGTGGATGGCATGCAGTGAGGGAGAATGGACAGAATGGCACAGTCCTCTAAAAGTTTCCTTCCTCCAAAATATTATACACATATTAAAACATTTCCTCCCTGAGGAATTAGCTTACAGATTAAAAAGGAAGAAATACTTAAGACTTGAGCAATTTCAACTTACTCTTTCATCAATGATTTTCATAAGCCATCTTTTGGTCAGATTATGTCTTTTGACAGCCTAAAAAAACAAGAGTGTTATAAATTTTTATAAAGTACTAGAAATGACTTCAGCAGACCTGAATAAAATAAACAAACCAAATACAAAACTAGGTAAGGAAGCATTTGTAATAACTCATCACCAGATAAACATCCACGTTAAAGAAGTATCAGGGGAAAAGAAAATGTCCCTAGAAAACATTTCAAAACATTTCCAAGTACAGATGGTACATCCAAAACATTTCCACTAGACTTTTTTTCTTATGCTACATGATGCGTCTTGACTTCTATGCGTCTTTATCCCACATAAACTTTTTTCCATAGGATAAAAATTCTACTTAGTGAAAATAACCACTTCTCCAAACATGAAAAGAATAACTAAAGGTCTAAAGAAAATAATCCACAGGGCACAGTGTTATCTTAGCAAACAAAGACACTCAGTAGGAAAAAGCACATGTAGTGCTCAGATCGTGGTCAGCAGTCCTATTTCTCCCAAAGGAAACGAGGCTCTGGAGCAATGGTGATTCCAGAGCCGGGCAGGGGAGATTCAGGGTGATTCTAGAATATCTTGCTGTGCCAGAAAACAGAAAGTGCCCCCAAAAGTGATGGGGGTGCATGTCATAAGGACACAGGAGCCAGTTTGAAAGGGCTCCCACTATCCAAATCTGGGCCAGTTTGAACACCAAAACAATGAAATATAGTAATGAATTATAAACTACTAGAAAAAATAGGAATTCATGAGTTCATAGCCATAATTAATAGACAAATAAACACAGGAGATTGAGAGCTCTTCCTCATGGTAGAATGCCAAGTGCCAACCAGTAATGTTGACGGAGTGCTAGAGTCTGGAAATCATCATTTTGCAATCATCACAGGTAAAGAGTGAATCAGACAAGAACCATCAATGAATGCTAAGTTTAGGAAGAAACTGATGAGAAGGAGGACACATGCATAGTCTGAAAGTCAATTACTTTGGTTTTTTTTTTTAAAGATTTTATTTATTTATTCGAGAGAGAGAGAATGAGAGACAGCACGAGAGGGAAGAGGGTCAGAGGGAGAAGCAGACTCCCCGCCGAGCAGGGAGCCCGATGTGGGACTCGATCCCGGGACTTCCAGGATCATGACCTGAGCCGAAGGCAGTGGCTTACCCAACTGAGCCACCCAGGCGCCCAAAGTCAATTACTTTGTAAGAGGGATTATAATTATAGACTGGGAAAACCAGGCAACACCTTGACCAGGTGATGAAAATTAACAATGCCAATAAAGGGGGCGCCTGGGTGGCTCAGTCGTTAAGCGTCTGCCTTCGGCTCAGGTCATGATCCCAGGGTCCTGGGATCGAGCCCCACATCGGGCTCCCTGCTCCGCAGGAAGCCTGCTTCTCCCTCTCCCTCTGCCTCTCCCCCTGCTTGTGTTCCCTCTCTCGCTGTGTCGCTCTCTATCAAATAAATAAAATCTTTAAAAAAAAAAAAAAAACAATGCCAATAAAGGACAGATGGACAAAGTGTGCCTCCAGACATGACACCCTGAGAACATGTCACCTTCACAGTATTCTGGCCAAACACACATAATCTGAATTAGTCATGAGAAAACATCAGACAATTCCAAAATGAGGAATGCTTTAGAAGAGCAGGGGGGAAGGGGCTATATACTCTTCAAAAATGTCAATGTCTTAGAAGACAAAGAGAAGCTATGGAAATGTTCCCGATTAAGCAGGCGAAAGAGACATGACAACTAATACCTGACCCTAGACTGGATCCAATACTGGAGGGGGAAAAATACTACCACGGACATTACCAGAGAAACTGACAAACATGGAATATAGATGGAAAATTAGATAGAAGTATTATATCAAAGTTAAATTTACAAAAGTCAATAACTGTTCTGGTTACAGAAGAGCATATCCCTATTCTTAGGAAATACTCATTAAAGTATTTAGGGATAAAGGACCATGATGTATATAACTTCCACTCAAGTGATTCAGATAAAAATTCTGAGTGTGTAAATGCACACGTGCAAGCACACACACAGAGCACACGTGCACATGTAAGTGAGCACTGCACAAATCATTAATAGGATAAAATGTTAACAACAGGTGAATCTGGATATAGCTTATAGAAGTGTTCTTTGTACTATTTTAAATTTTGCAACCTTTCTGAAAGTTTGGAATTATTTCCAAGTAAGTTTTAAAAACATTGTTTCCTTATCAAGTCAACAATGAAGTATGTTTTCATAATAAATAAATATGGTAGTGAAACAAAATCTTAGGACTGTCCCATACTCCACCTAAGACTCTAAGATGTCACGATACCAAAATGTAAAAGTTAGCATACTCATCAACACACATCTATGTGACAAAGGGTGGAAGCAGGGAGCACAGAGCCCATTTTGCTCGGCAGGAACCTAACAGAAGCTCCAAGTGCTGCATGGCCTTGGCTGCAAAGTGCTCTCAGCCCTGCCACTATTACATGGTAGGACTCCCCACAAGTCTCTGCCCAGCCCCAGGAATCAGCCTGGGATTCCTCAGTCATACAGAATCCTGATATTGCTTTATTTTGTATGTGTCTAAGTGGAGTGAGGCATATTTGATCTTTGCAACCACCATCAAGCACCATTCCTGGTACTTAAAGTACTCAAGAAATATTTAACCACTGAAAGTCAGATTCCTGTTTACTCAAGGCTGAACCCATACCAGCTGCAGTTAACCTTGACTGCAAAATATAATTCTTCCATCTGATTCTGGAGGAAATCAGAGATCAAGGTAAAAAACAAGTATGTAATAAGAAGCTGAAAATCTGCTGAATAAAGTATCAACAATTTTGGAAACAGATGCCAAATAGAATAATAACTTTGGCTATAAACATAAATTCAAACTACAACTAACATTAATACACGGAGAAATGAAGAAGCCCATATGAAATATATATGTAATTATAGATATGCAACTATTTTGTACCCTAAAAGCACCAATGAATCACTGTGGCAGAAAAGTGCCCTCTGAACAACATGCTGTCACTCTTTCCTTATCTAATCTTCTAAAAGAACCTGCCCCTCTCCAAAGAACCAATGGCAGGTTTTACGGGACAGTGGTCCAATAAGCATATGCTCCAGCAGAATGGGGAGAGAACATGCAGTGGGGACAACTGCTCTGCACACTACCTGCTTCTTTCAAATATTCATATTAACTTCAACACTGGTCATATCAGAAAGCTGCCCAGCAGCAATCATCCAAATTTAAGCAGCTATCAAAATTGGACAAATTGGCACATGTGTAAACATTCTACAATTCAGACACGTCTTCTGGGTTTTTTTTAAAGAGAGGCCAAGAACAAGATAAATTTGTGTTGAAGGAATCTCTGGTCTTCCATGATGTTTCCTGACAAACGCCAGGACCTTTGATGCAAGTCTTAGCATAAATCCCCAATGCACTGATGTTTGTGTATAAAATCATTGTTTTTCTAGGCTTTAGAGAAACTTTTCTTTAAACGGAGTCACCAAGGTTGAGGTTCTTAAAGTGAGATGAACAGAGGTAAACAACTAATCTAATACTCCTAGCTTCCCAGCCACTTTTTCTTCTCAGTCTCCAGTTGTGGGGGGCCTGGCTTTCCACCCTTACTGGGGCTCTGTGAAGTCAATAGAGGGCCCCGGAATAGGGTCTGCCTCTGCTGGTGGGCAGACCTGAGAAGAGGTGCAGGTCAGGTCTGTTCGGTGGCTCCGTCACAGAACCTGTCTTTTGGCACTCATGACACTACAGTGGAGACACGATCATTGACAAAAGACACCTAATTCCCTTCCTTCAGTCATGGTGTAGCACATTTCCAAACTCTGCAGAGCTGTGCATGAAACTTTTCGCTAGATCCATCTAGCTACCCAAAGAATTCTCTAGCCCATATTTGTGTCTGGACAATGGTGAGGGCAAGTCTCCCTTCACCAAAGATCAGTATGTGTTTTTCTACAGCCCACAGTATGGATCGGAGCCCTGGAATAAGGAACTGCTGGGCAGACAGAACAGACAATTAACCTGCCACTGCTTCAAAATTTGTGGGGCTTAATTTCTACAGCAAATATGTGGAAAATAAATACATAACTTATAACACAAAGAGACCAGATTCCTTTTTTTTTCCTTTAATAAAGAAATTCACTAAAGATCTGTGCAAATTATTAGCAGATGATTTTAAATTCTTTGTCAAAACTAACAGAGCTCTGAACATTACATGAACCTAACATTATTTTCAGGATAGATTCCCCATCGCCACTAGCCAAACTGTATGCACCAAAAGGTATGCTCAAATAACACTTAAAAATTAAAAGTACCATTTTGTTTTTACCTTCCATAGCTCGAGGGCCACAGGCTGCTGGGGTGGGCTGTCACAGTATATGTCGTCTACTGTTTTTTTCCAAAACTCCATTCTCATCAGTCCAGTTGTTTTCTCAGAGACGGAGTCCTTAACCTGTAAACAGCGTTCAAAAACCTTAATAAATGCACTCTTCGCAGTCTCAAAATCAGTATCTGTGACTGCATAATCACATAATTCAGCCAAAAACTAAGTTTAGTTCTTTACATTTAATTTTTCCTTGAAGCTATATATCAATTAAATTGTTGTCATTAGGAGTTTCCTAAGTAACCTGCAAATTACTTCCAATGTTTTCAAGGTTTGCATTCCAAAATAAGAGATTTCTTCTAGAAATAAATTGTAAGAAAAAAACCGGGGGGGGACATTTAGATTAAAAGTAATTTGATAGAGGAACCACTTGCAGTATGTGGAGTTTATCTGAATCCTGATTTGAAGAGAGACAACTGGGAAAAATCTGAACTCTGGATGTTTAATGATATTAAGGAGTTATTAAATTTTTAATCTATGACAATGGTATTATAGTTATTTTTTTATTTTTTTTAAAGATTTTATTTATTTATTCATGAGAGACAGAGGGACGGAGAGAGAGAGAGAAGCAGAGGGAGAAGCAGGCTCCCAAGGAGCAGGGAGCCCGATGTGGGACATGACCTGAGCCGAAGGCAGATGCTTAACCATCTGAGCCACCCAGCCGCCCCTATAGTTTTTTTTAATGAGTTATCTTTTAGAGATACATACTGAAATATTTACAGATGAAAAAATTTATTTGAGATGGAGGTGAGGACGGGGTAGGTGGGGATAGAGATGAAAAATCAAGATTGGCCATAAATTAGTAACTGGTGGAGCTGGGTGATGGGTTTATGGGAATTTATTATGCTACACTCTCTAATTCTATATATGTTCAAAGTTTTCCATAATAAAAAAAATTTTTAAAAATAAATGTAAGAGAAGAAAAACAATCTTCATTGGATTAGTGATGATAAAATTATGTCAAGTGTGGAGATAAACCTAGGAAATAGAACCAGGGGCTTTCTAGAGGAAGCAGGGAAGGAAGTAACATGTATCAAATGTCCAAGAGTGTCAGGCCCTTTGCTAGGTTCTGTCCCAGAGATTATCTGATTGCAGTCCTCACCACAAACTCACAGGGTCATTACCAATATACCCATTTACAAATAGAGAAATAATGGCTCAAAAAAGTAGTAGTTTATCTCATGCTCTGCATGCTCACAGCTCTTATAATGGAACCAGAAGGATATGCAGAAGATTATGGGTGAGGGGAGCATCTGACTATAAAGGGGCACATGAGGGAATTTTGGGGGGTTGATGGAATTGTTCTTTTTTCATGACTATGGTGGTGAATGCATCACTCTATGCATGTATGAAACCTATAGAACTGTATACCACAAAAAGTGAATTTTTCTGTATGTACATTTAAATAAACTCATTCCTTTACTAAGTAATTTTTTTCTCTTTTTTTTTTAGAAAGCGAGCGAGTGCACACATGCAAGTGGGGGAGGGGTGGAGGAGGAGGGAGAGAGAGAATCTTAAACAGACACTCAGCGAGGAGTCCTACCCAGGGGCTCGATCCCACAACCCTGATATCATGACAAACATTTAAGTTTGTTAGATAGTTTATTTTTGGAATTGAATTGGTAAGTCTAAATGGCAGGACAAAGAAATCACCAGCAGAGACCTTATGCACATCTAACATATAAGTTATAACTATTTCTTTATTGTTCAGCATTACAACACACATTTTATCACCATTTTTGCAAATAATTTTTGAAGGTATTTTAATACCAGCCTGAGCCAGTTCCACATTGAAGGCCCTCAGTGCAAAAGCAGAGCTTCTGGATTCTGCAGGGAGCAGCAGAGAGCATATATAGCCTTCATAATCTCGTTTCCTATAACAAATAGACAAAAAAAGACAGTCACTTTTCACTTTCTAAATTGTACATACACACAAAAATGCTGACTAGAATTAACTGAAAAAAAAATCGAGGCTTCAATTCAAAATAGGCCTGAAATTTCTTATATTTTATACTTGTTTCCTTAAAATTACAAAAAATGTATCTGCCCCCAATCCCAGACCAGTTAAAAAGAAATAATCTCTATTAATTTATTTGGACTTATACAGTACTTATAATTTTATTGTTTCAGAATCACTTTCTGAAGTTTTTAATACATAGATAAAGACACAAACAAGACAGAAAAACAGAAAATAATATGAGCGCGTGGGTGTGTGCGCCTGGGTGTACACTTACGTTTCCTAGCAGCCTCTGCTGAGAGAGCCTAAAAGCAATGATATTCCCCAAGACCCCAGTATCTGTGAACACACCTAACACCTAGATCTTTGGTTCCTAAATACCATTCTCCACTGGAAGAAACTAGGGCTCATTGGAAGAGGAACTAAGTCAGGGCTGGGGCAGGGAAAATACAAGATAAGCCAGAAACATCTTCCTGGACAGAAAGTAATGAAATATTCAGAGTGGAGGGACTTGTCAAAATGACAAAGCAACTGGCCTGACCAAGTTCTCACTAAGTCTGGGACAATCTGAGCATCAGAAAAAAATAATGATAGGGGCGCCTGGGTGGTTCAGTTGTGAAGCGTCTGCTTTCGGCTCAGGTCATGGTCCCAGGGTCCTGGGATCGAGCCCCGCATCAGGCTCCCTGCTCAGCGGGAAGCCTGCTTCTCCCTCTCCCACTCCCCCTGCTTGTGTTCCCTCTCTCGCTGTGTCTCTCTCTGTCAAATAAATAAATAAAATCTTTAAAAAAAAAATAATGATCTAAAAAGGGCACATTCTGCGTGGAGCACTGGGTGTTATGCACAAACAATGAATCATGGAACACTACATCAAAAACTAATGATGTAATGTATAGTGATTAACATAACAATAAAAAATTATTTTAAAAAATAATGATGGTAACAGATTGTAAAAGAATGCCGTAAGCCCACGCCAATATAAAAGAATGCATGAATAAGAAGAGAAGGAAACTTGACAGAAGTACAATGCCAACTGATAAATCTGGAAGACATACTGAAAAATTTTTAAATAATCATTGGATAACTATCAAAGTAACAATTCAGTCAAAAATCATCAATTAATATCTTAAAATATTAAATGGGTGAAAGTTTGATAAAAACAGAATGTTAACATACCTGTGAAGTATATCCTCACAAAATATATGTTACTAATTAACCTTCTTATTAACTAAATTTACCGGGGAGAAACCCAAAAGATACCTTTTCAACCAAGTAATAAAAGGTTCACACCACAGAAATAGGATAATCAACATCATGTGCTTCCTGAAATGATACTAAGAAAAACATAGCATCGCTTCTGTAACATTCCTGCCAAAAATGTATAAATCACAAGGAAACATTAAACCCAACTGAAGAAAATTCTACATAGTAACTGGCCTGTTCTCTTCAAAAACTGTCAACCTCATGAAAGATAAGGAAAGACTGAGAAATTCTGCAAGGCTGGAGAAGACTAAAGAGATTTGACAACTAAATGTAGCATATGATCCTGGATGCATGAAAATCATAATTGAATAATCAGCAAAATTTGAATGGAGTCTGTGGATTCAATGGCAATATTGGATTGATTTTAATATCCTGATTTCGATGCTTGTACTATAGTTACATGGAAGAGGACCCTTGTGTGTATTAAAAAATACACACCAAGGGACACCTGGGTGGTTCAGTCGGTTGAGTGACCAACTCTTACTTTTGGCTCAGGTCATGATCTTGGGGTTGTGGGATCAAGCCCGACGTCAGGCTCTGCACTTGGCAGGAAGTCAGCTTGAGATTCTCTCTCTCTCCCTCTCCCCCACTCACACGTGTACTCTCTCACTTGCTCACTCTAAATAAATAAATAAATCTTAAAAAAATACACACCAACATATTAAGGGGAGGGAATGGGGCATGTCTACATCTTATTCTCAAATGCTCAGGATGTTAACAACGAGGGAATTTGGATGAAGAGTATATTGGAGCTCTGTGTATTATCTTTATAATTTCCATCGATTTGAAATTACTTCAAAATAAAAAGTTTAAAACGATATAATCCTTATTATATACATCATAGGATGACTGCCTATCGACAAGGCTAGTTTCACTATAATACATTGGAACTTTATTATAACATTATTTCCTATAAAACAGTAATCTAGACGAACCATGAGAGATGATGGACTCTGAAAAACAAACTGAGGGTTCTAGAGGGGAGGAGGGTAGGGGGATGGGTTAGCCTGGTGATGGGTATTGAGGAGGGCACGTTCTGCATGGAGCACTGGGTGTTATGAACAAACAATGAATCATGGAACACTGCATCAAAAACTAATGATGTAATATATGGTGATTAACATAACAATAAAAAATAAAAAAATAAAAAAATAAAAAAAAACAGTAATCTAAATAAAGGGGGTCCAACCTCCTTCCATGGAGTTTAGGTACTGAAATTCAGACTACTCCCACATTTCAATTGGTTCACTTTTTTTTTCAATTTAATTTAATTTTGTTTTTCGAGAGAGAAAGAATGTGAGCAGGAGGGAGGGGCAGAAGGAGAGAGCGAGAATCCCAAGCAGGCTCCATGCTCAGTGCAGAGCCCAACTTGGGACTTAATCTTACCACCCTGAGATCACCACCTGAGCCAAATTCAAGAGTTGGACGCTCACCTGACTAAACCACCCAGGCACCCCTCAATTGGTTACATTTTGCTGTCTGCCTCACAGAGAACTTAAACCTCTTCTAGCCGCACCCTTCACAATGTCCTCCAACTTCCACATAAACAAAAGAAAGCAATAATGACAAGTAACCCTTCTATCACAAAATAGCTCTACTAAAAATCTCATCATAAGTGGTTGCAGCTACAAAATGGACAGTGTGGGCAAAACAGCTCTATAATTTCTACTTTTAAATACATATAGGTATATTTTAAATTTTAATTTTAATATAAAAGTCTCTGAACTTCAAAACTGCTTAAAACACTAGGATGTTAATGTGAAACAGTGAGAAAATAGTGACTAGGAATCAAGACTACAATCTTAATTTCCATTCAAGGAGTTGACAGAAATGATTCCTGCCACATCTATTTCCTAATTTGCAAAATGAGGCTTGATAACCTGTTTCATATCTCCTAAAAATAATCAATATGTGAAGTACTTCAGGTTTCTTACAGGGAAGTGAAAAATGAAGACACACTAGTATGGTAACAACCTTCGGGAAATAAGATACTCTACAGAGAAGGGTTTCCCTGTAAAGTTTTTTAATTTTAATTTAAAATTTTTAAAATTTTGGCTGGAAATTTTTCTAAACAATATTACCAACCTCCTTACACTGAGTAAGATATACTGAATATTTAACCATTTCTTCATCACTCAGGATCATTGTTATTAATACCGATTATTGGTAGACAAAGGTATCTTAAGTAGCCAAACAAGGTCCAGTTATTGGAGAACTGTTCCAGATAGTGAGAAATTCCATACTATGGTGGTTTTATACAGCAACAGGGCCAAAAACCTTTCATTCATTCATTCACTGTAACATTTATCCAGTGCCCACTATGCACCAGCAGTGTGCTAGACACTCAAGATAGGTATAGATTTCAGTCTGGTAGAGAGAGGCAGATATATGAAAAATAAGCATATCTGGTGTTAGGATTGCTGTGCTAGTTCTAGTTCCATGGACCTGTGCCACCAAGGCACAAAAAAGTGGTTCCCCAGTGTGGCTGTGGGAGAATGGAGAAGAGGTACACTTTCAGAGATCACCATTAGCACCTCCTTACCTCCTTATAGCGCTAATCCCAAGGCCTGAGGCAGTCTTGGGGTTCCTCAAAACCATACCCCCAAGAAACCTATGTAAATTAGGTTTGAGATAGTCCCAGGAACCTCATCTCCCAGCAGAGCTCTGGCTGGCTAACCTGAACTTCTGGCCTGGTATCTTTTTCAATATTTGGAGGCCTTACATAAGATACATGTCCAAAACAACCCTGCCCAGATCATTGCAGAGGCCAAATCCTGCAAAGATAAATGGACAATCAGAAGCTAGAAATTGTAATCTTTCTAAATTCTTTCTAAAATCTTTCTAGGGGCACCTGGGTAGCTCAGTTGGTTAAGCGACTGCCTTTGGCTCAGGTCATGATCCTGGAGTCCTGGGATCAGTCCTGCATTGGGCTCCCTGCTCAGTGGGGAGTCTGCTTCTACCTCTGACCCTCCCCCCTCTCATGCGCTCTCTCTCCTCTCTCTCTCTCTCTCTCAAATAAATAAAATCTTTAAAAAAATAAAATCTTTCTAAACAAAAACAAATTTTTGTTTTTATTTCAAAACTACTACTGCAAACAGTGAATCATGGAACACTACATCAAAAACTAATGATGTAGGGCGCCTGGGTGGCTCAGTCGTTAAGCGTCTGCCTTCAGCTCAGGTCATGATCCTAGGGTCCTGGGATCCAGTCCCACATCAGGCTCCCTGCTTGGCGGGAAGCCTGCTTCTCCCTCTCCCACTCCCCCCTGCTTGTGTTCCCGCTCTCGCTATCTCTCTCTCTGTCAAATAAATAAAATCTTAAAAAAAAAAACAAAACTAATGATGTAATGTATGGTGATTAACATAACATTATAATTAAAAAATAATAAAAATAAATAAAAATAAAAACTACTACTGTGCATGTTATATGCCAGCATTTTTATATACATCGTTGCATTTAATCCTCATAACCAGGCTATAAAGTAGGAGTAGAAATTTACAAATGAGGAAATAGCTGAATCTTAATGTGAGTAACTTTTCCAAGCGATGGACCTAGGATTAATAAACTCAGATCAGGTCTGCCTGCAAAATCCAGGCTTTTTAATAAATCACTAGAGTCAAAAGCATCCATTCCACTCAAATACCTATATGGACAGATTAAATATCTGCCCATTTGTAAATATATATTTGGGAAAACTATCATGTGACACCCATAGACTATTACTAGAACAGTATGATCATTTTATATATATACTATATATATGTAGTATATATATATACACACTATATATGTAGAAATATATATACTACATATATGTAGTAATATATATGTAATATATGTACTATATATACTACATATATAGAAATATATATATTATATGTAATACAATGATCATACTATTACTTACATATAATAATACATAAGAAATTAGGAAGAGTAGGGTGCCTGGATGGCTCAGTCAGTTAGGCATCTGCCTTCAGCTCAGGTCATGATTCTGGAGTCCCGGGACTGACCAGGGAGTCTGCTTCTCCCTCTCCCTCTGCTCCTCACCTCCTCATGCTCTTTCTCTCACTCACTCTCTCTCTCTCAAATAAAATATATAAAATCTTAAAAAGAAAAAAAAAGAAGGAAGAGTGATTATTCACCCCTGGATAGGGAAGGCAGGCCACTACAAGTGTCAAAAATTGCACTAGAAAAGTGGATATGGGTGGTAAACATTTTGGTAACTTGTGTTTTTTTATCATCAAAAAATGATAACTTTAAAATATATAGAAATGACTATAACTTTTTAGCAGTTTTGGCTTTTACAAGTTCTTATTGCTCTGATTTCCACTATTGTTATCTTGTTTCAGTTATAAGTAATCAACAAACAGAGTGGGGCAGGAACATTATTTTTTAAAGTGAATTAAAAATTCTGAAATGCATGGGAATTGTTTTGTTATGCTACAGTGTGCTAAAATGAAATTCAAAAAAATTGGATTTATTAGCCCAATCAAATCCAAGGCAGCTTAAAGATCCTGGCACTTCTCAGTTCTTAAGACCAGGTACTTAGCATTTCACCACTGTTATAAATCAAAGGCAGCAGAAGGGCAGCAGGGCCTAAGCCACTGTCTTTGCAGTCAGGCCCAATTCCAAGGCTGGAGCCTGCCCAGAACCACTGGGTCACCTGGTGACCTGATTCATCTAACTCAACCACACATGATTAACAGCGACTGCCATGTGCCAAGCCTTTCCGGTGTTACCAGGGTGAACAAAATTGTCATCAGGCCTTGACTTTTTGAGACTATTCTACTGATCTCAGGTAAATTCCCTAATCTCTCGAAACCTCCATATCCTCATCCATTAAATATGATAATAATGGCTTATATTGTACTCAGTGTGCCCTTGCTTTGTGCCAGGCAGTGTTCTAAACGCTTTAATTCTCAGAACCCTAAATGGTAGGTCTACATTTGTGCGTCACAATTTGTAACGAAGAGTAAGTAAATTACTTGTACTTTGCATAGTGCCTGACACGTAAGAACTCAGCTAAAAATTACTAGTCGTCTGTCAAATTTTTCAAAGGTGTGCATGCAGTACGTTTAACTAGGTATAAACATTAAGTCTCGGTCAAGGTGACAGACGAAGGAGTTTTGCCACAATTTTGTGACCGGCGTGAAAGTTCCCGTGGCCTCGCTCCCCGCCAACCGGAACGCAGCAAGGCAATGGTCCGCTCGCCCCGGCCGGCCCCGAGTCGCGCCGCGCCCACCCGGGCCCCCTCGGGCCGCTCGCTCACCGCAGCATCTCCATGCAGTAGCGGTCGGCGCCCGAGGCGCCCGATCCGCTGGCCGCGGCCGCGCTCCGCCCGGACCCTGCGAGCCCCGGGAGCCGCCGCGCACGCGGCCCCAGGCTCCGGGGCGGCCGGCGGCGGCACAGGCCGGCAACGCCGAGCCTCAGCGGGCTGCAGGCGGAGCCCAGCACGGACGCCGCCATGACACCGCCGCCGCGTGCCCTCCGACCCCGCCACGCCTCCGCAGGTCCACCCGCCCAGCTCTCGGCAGCGGGCAGGCGGCCGGGGACGCAGCTCGGAGGGGAGCCAGGTGTCGCTGTGGTCCTCTGCATCTGGGCCGTCGCCGCGCTCTTCTGCCTCTTGGGTTCCAGAAAAACCCCGCCTAAATCCGGCGGACCCCGCCCCGGCTCTCCGCCTTCCTTCCAGGTCCTTCTGAAAATGTATTTATCGAGGTAGGAGGATAGAGAATATGTTGACAGTTACTAGCTTAACTGAAAACTCTTAAGTCTTTATCACGTGGTATGTGAGCCTTCTTTGGTACTCTTACCCGCGGCCTTTCAAATATTAGAGCTGGGTCTAGTTGCCAAGACCTGCCCTGGTCCAAGCCATCCCTGCCTACGTCTGAAGCCCAGTGACACCTGCCTGCAGATTTGCCCGGACTGTTCATGCGGTAACCAGACTGGTTCTTTCTAAAGTGTACATCTCATCATGATCCTTGCTTGCTTGACAGTCTTTACTGTGGATTGGATAACGCCCCTCCATGATATGGCCTCTATTTACTTTTCAGCCTCAACCCTAGCTGTTTGCATTTGTGACTCCACCTCCTTAAACCCGAAGGAGTGTACCCTGTTGCCTGGACCTACGAACTCTAGCCAATTTACCCCGCTTTAGTTTTACTCCCTGAGACCCCCCTCCTCTCTGCAGCCTGTGCAGGACCTCAGTCCCTCCTGCATAATGTTCTCTTTTCCCTCTTGGCTTCTGTCCTTTAGCTCTCACAGACACACACTAGTGTTTTCAGTACCACAATTTAAACCTGATCCGTAAAAGAAAAAAAAAAATCACTCATCTACATCTCCAATTCTGATCTCCTGCCCAGCGAGACTTTTCCATCTAGACATCTTGCCATTACTTCAAAGTCTACCTGTCTAAAAACCACATCAAATTACTGCCCTTCTTAGTCTCGTCATTTATCTGAACAGTGTTCCCCCTCTCACAACCAGAGGAAACACTTCGGAGTCATCCTTCCCTTTTCCCTCTTCTATATCTAATGTAGTATAGTTGGTCAGGTCCATTAATTTTTTTTCCTTCATACTCACATCCATGGCTTCATAGCTGATGAGAAACCTGGACTCAGATCCTGGCTCCACTTCATATCTCTGTGACTGTTTAAAAGGAGCAAAAAGGGGTGTCTCGGTGGCTCAGTCCATTAGATGTCCAACTCTTGATTTTAGCTCAGGTCATGCTCTCAGGGTTGTGAGATAGAGCCCTGCATTGGGCTCCATGCTGAGTGTGGAGCCTGCTTCAGATTCTCTCTCTCCCTTTCCCTCTGCCCCTTGGCCCCCCATGTGCTCTCTCTCCCTCTCTCTAAAAAACTAAAAGGAGCAAAAAGATTGCTGGGTGTCCCAGTGGGAAGCTAGACACTGTTCAGGTTATTTGATTCTGTGGGGTCTTTGTGCCTTTCATCATCTTTGAGCTATTTTACAATTCCGTAAGTTGCAGGATATTGACAATAATGCAAACAATTCTTGTCCATAAATATGCAAATTGTATTAACTGTTGATTATTGTTCTATGGATATTGACCAGTTTTGTGTCTGTTAAGCAGATTTACTTAAGCATTCCTAACTGCCTATACAGTATGGTACTTTGATTACTTCTTTGAATTGGTTGCAACATCTTACTGGTTCCCACATTAATTAATGAGTTAAATGGAAAAAAAATTTTTTTTAAGATTTTATTTTTGGGGCTCCTGGGTGGCACAGTTGGTTAAGCATCTGACTCTTGGTTTCAGTTCAGGTCATGATCTCAGGGTTGTGAGATCGAGCCCTGCATCAGGCTCCACACTGAGCATGGCATCTGCTTGAGATTCTCTCTCCCTCTCCCTCTTCCCCTCCCACTCGTGCTCTCTCTCTCTCTCTCCCCCCTCTCAAATAAATACATCTTTTTTTTTATAAAGATTTTATTTATTTATTTGACAGGGAGAGACACAGAGAGAGAGGGAACACAAGCAGGGTGAGTGGGAGAGGGAGAAGCAGGCTCCCGGCCAAGCAGGGAGCCTGATGTGGAGCTGGATCCCAGGACCCCAGGATCATGACCTGAGCCGAAGGCAGACGCTTAACGACTGAGCCACTCAGGCACCCCTAAACAAATAAATCTTTAAAAAAAAAAAAAGATTTTAAGTAATCTCTGCCCCCAACATGGGGCTCGAACTCACAACCCCAAGATCAAGAGTCTCATTCTCTACTGACAGAGCCAGCTAGGTGCCCTTTAAATGAAATTCTTGACATGTGTTCATTTTATATCTGTATGAGAGTCGTGGTTGTATAATCTTGTTAAAAATTATTCTTTGACAACTACCATTAGATATTATTAACTTGTCTTCCATTTTATTTCCAGTACTTAGTTTCACATCTTTCTGATGGACATATTTCATTTGTTTCCTTATCTCCAAGTCAGTCAGTCTGTATTGAAAAATACCATTTTTCTAGTAATCACAAATTAACGCAAATCTAAGTAATACATACTATGAGCCTATAGATATATAAACCTTAAGGCAGAATTCCAAATAATGGCAATAGAGGAAAAATTAAGGACTTTTAAAGTTATGCTATGGATAACACCCTGCCACCAACTAACATTTATAAGAACATCTATTATTTGCTAATCTTGAAATTTATTTTTTTAGAATTATGAGCACATAAAATATTTCCTTAGTCTAATTACTTTGTATCAAAACCAGTATACTTGAAGTATGCATATACTTTTATTCAGTCCAGGTTTCAGTCAAGGCAGAAGCTCAATGCTTAACCCCAGAATTAACATTTACAAATAAATGACCACAGAGCACAATTGTTAACTTGGCCTTTAGCCGTGGCATTTGCTCACTATAGCCTTTCTGAGTATATGGTGATTATAACTGTGCCATCTGTGTAATTATGGATGAAATATAAGAACACTTCTTTCCAAGCTTTAGCCCAGTAAAGATTGTCCTATGGTTGATTGCTGTATTTTAAAGAGTTATGCCTTATTGTTCCAGAAGAATATTGCTCCCCTCTTATCAAGAAGTGAGTTTCTTTCCTTACGTTAAGAGTCGGTCAGGCATTTTGGGTTTTACATGACATCTTGAGCATCTAAACGGTCTGAGAGGGTCTACACCAGATCACAGCTGGTTAAATCTCCCAGAATAAGACTACTTCGCACGCTTTCTCCTCCTTCTCCAAGGCCCTCAGGGATCAACTGACTTCTTAGTCCATTTTGTTTTGTAACATGTTTTTCATTTTATACACACACACACACACACACACACACACACACACACACATTTGCCTATATTTTCCAGATTTCCTTTAATGATATATATGTAGTCATTAAAGAATATATATGTATATGTCTATATATGCAATTAAAGTATATAAAGTATACATATGTATGTAGAGGAAAAAATCATGCTAAAACCAATAATTCAGACAGTTACTGTTTACATTTTGGTATTAGCTCTAACCTTTTTTGAACAAGCTTTTTGCTTGTTTTTAAATATTGCCTGTACAATATTATTTGAGTAGCCAAACATGGTTATAAATATTTATTATGCTATTATTTCATTCGTTTTAAAACATTTATTGGAAGTTTACTCTGTTCCTACACGGTAGCAGTTGCCCGAATTCCAGAATGAGCAGATAGACATGCTTCATGTCCTCAAAGAGCTTATTCTTAGTAGTAAAGATATTTACCCCAAAATCATCACAAATAAATATGTAATCATAAAATGTGGTAATTGCTATTGTGTTAATAAGGATATAAATTCAGCTGCTCAAATAAACACACAAAGTCACAGTGCTGTAAACAAGGTAAACATTTATCCCTCTGTCACGTAGCCATTTGGATGTAAGCAGTCTCAGATTGCATGAAGATCCCAGAGACTTAGGCCCTCTCAGTTTGGTCATTCTACTCTCTGAGGAGTATAGCCCTTGCTGGTATATACAACATGACTCTCTAGTAGTTCTCTATGGCAGCCAGTAGCAAGAGTGAAAGGATAAGGGGCAAGACGCCCTTCTCTTTAAGGGAGAAGTCATTTTTGTGCCGTGGAATATAGCAGAGTATGTGCTTCTTTAAGCATCAACTAATAAACTTGCAGTGAGTGTAATTTCAAATTTCATAGTGGCGATGGACATAAACAATATATTAGATATCTGCAAAATGATTATGTGATATGAAAATGTCTGATTTTGTTTGGTGACAGGATCACAGTTACTGCCAATATTTTTGTGCTTCGTTGCCTGTATTCATAATTGAAGAAAATGCTAAATTTTAGTTAGCAGTTCACAAAACTACAGATGTAATTTTTTTCCCATTCTAGTTCACAGGCTCCAAGAATTCTATCCACAACTTCTTTAGGTTAAGAACCTCCTGCTTTTGCTCTGCTACCTGCTGTATTTATTATATGGAAGCGTCTAAGCACTGTAAGGGTAAGTGTTTTTCCTCATTGTAGGGTGTTATGTATGATGTTGCTTTCTTTTTTCCATTAGTTAAAAAAAATTTTTTTTGCCCTTGGAGTAAGGGAATGAAACTTTTAAGATCTCAAGACACTATCAGTTAGAAGCATCCCTAATGTCTTATTTTTCCACTTTCCCGTTCTTCTTTATATAACCCGAAGAGCATTGTGTTAATCTGATTTTTAAAGATCTTTTTATGTGTTATGTGTTAAGGGTTTGTTTGGTACCTCACTGAAATGTTGTACGTTGCAGACCAAACTCTGCTTATATCAGGGGGATGAGACCACTGCATCCTTAGCCATTGTCACAAAATCTGTGGCGTGGTAATTTAACATGTAAAGTTGTAACATACGTATGTTTAAAACAGAAATGCAAAGCGAAAAGCTGTGAAATGTCTCGTGTCTTTCGTTCTCTGTATTTATGCAACTGATTTATCAGTCTGTTACTGAAGTGTGGGTTTAAGGACTCGTCTCAGCCAGTTTGCATCTGTAA